ACACACACACACACACACACACACACACACACACACATACACACACATACACACATATACACACACACATAGGCATGCCACAAGGAAACGTACACACGAATGTGTCTTTACCTATTTTGCATCCAGAATCTCTGCATAACGTTTTTTGTACGATTCTTCATTACTGATGAAACGCAAAAAAGCAAACTGACGTGCGGACGTCAGCGTGTGCATTCGAATTTTGCCACTCACTTTCAACTTAACAGCAAAAAAGCTCGGAAGCTGAAATTTCAATCTGTGTTATGTAAAAAGTGCACAAAAGAATCTCTCTTTTACTCCATCAATTAATAAAAATTTTTAGAAACAAGCTTTTTATGCAAATATTTTTAATTCTTTTTAAAACTGAATTTATATAAATTCCTCAGAATTGTACGAAGAGAAACAATATGTTGTGGGTTGCATACAACCACATTTATTACATGTTATTTACGCTTGAATGGATTGCAATCCACTGGTAAAATTTCTAATCAAAGTAGCCCAGACATTAAGCTTTGCTTAATTTCCGTTTCTGGATGACGGATGAAAGCAACAGCCTCCGAATTATGCATAAAATTCAATTTTCTGTAGCATGCTTCAATGAATTTTAAAGTTTCAAATTCATAGGCATTCTGTTTTAAAACGTAATATTTGATAGATACGAATTTGTCCCTCTTCGCCAGTGAGGTATCTCAACGTGATCCAGGAATAGGTGATGATAACACACACACATCAGGAATATCTCGAGATAGCTAAAGCCTTAATAAATTCTTTTGTGAGAAAAATCGTTGAAGTGATAGTAATCCCTTCTGGCGATAGTAATCCCTTTAATAGTAACCCTAAAACTAAAACACAGCGAAAAAATGTGACTTTATCTTTTAATGTGACTTTATCACAGCGAAAAAATGTGACTTTACTATGGCATTTCTGGAATCTCAGAGTTCAGAACCGTTTTCATATTCACTCACTATGAGAGCTGAAAGCGTTCACAAGTAGTGGTAGCAACTGGTAGCAGTAACTATCCATCAGTAAGGCTATCGACAATTCCATCTTTCGAAGCGTATGGCAGATTTGAGCCAATGGCGTAATCCAATACCTATTTACCATTGAAACGAATGAACGAATTGCAAAGTGAATAATTACTCCACTGTCGGTTCGGATCACTTTAATTCCTGCGAAAGAATAACTCAACTTGCCAGTGTGCCATACTAGTCAATTTTAAAATATAAATTTAGAACTGATTTTGTTAAAAAAAATTACAAGTTTTCATCAGTAGCTCATTTGTGGGCTCTTTTTATGACAAGTTGTGTTTAGGAAAATAACATAAATTTTCTAAGGGACCGCCCACAAATGAGGGCAAAACCCGTATTTTTAAGTTTCGATATTAAAGCTTTATCCTCATTTAAATGAGGTAAAATGGTGGATGGGAATTCACTAACAACGCTGCAATGTCGCGGCGTAACAAGGGCTCGGATAATTGGCGTAAATTTTACGGATTTGACGCATCTGCGCACGAATATATTAATTAGATGACTATTATAATACATTCGTTCTCGTTCCTCACAATCTCGTCACTACAAATATTCCTAATCATGCGAATTGTTAAAGATAGATGTAAGGGATTTGACAAACAAAGGGAAAAACCCATAGCTGATTTGAAATTGACACTAAATCCCCTTTTCAATGGGAGAGGGAGGGGAGGAGGGGTGGGCAAAACCTCGACATCTCAAACAAACCTCGCTATCAGCTTGCTTCTAAGCAACCTTCGAAAGGGGAAGCCATCTGC